TTTATTACATTTATTGATTTTGTTACATTTATTTTGAGATGTGAAGGCTCTCGGCTGTCCGGGTGACGCAGCGCAGAGGGCATACACGCCGGCGTTCCGACCAATCACATCGTGCGCTTCTTCAAGCCTGCAGGTCACTACCCCAGCCCTAAAGCAGACCGCGATTCGATTGGTGCAAACATCGTCACCCGAACAGCCGAGAGCCTTCACATCTCAAAATAAATGTAACAAAATCCTTGGTCATGTCGGGGTAGACGAAGATCACTTTTTGCCAGTGAAATACTTTCATACAACAAAGATACACATTGGACATGTGCCCTTGGTTGGAGGGCAACTCGATGCATTGGTATTTGGCGGGTACACGAACGTGACGTGTTACACGAGTTGCCTCCCAATCTAGGACAAATGTCCCATGTAGAATTTTGATATAAAAAATTTGATCAAATAAAAAAGGAGTATATTCGACTTCCCTAGAGAATTAAGATATTTGCAACATTTGTTCGGCCACACCGCATGAAACCACGTTCATTCATGCCCGGAAACTCCATTGTTCAAAAAAGGTAAATAATTTACTCAAAAAATTTTAAACTATAAAATGTAGATTCGCACACTATCGTAAGAATGAAGTTTTTACTGAATTAAGAACACAAGTTTACCAATTTGTACAAAGTGGCCTTTTTAAAAAGCGATTTTTTATACTATTGAAAACCTAAGTAAGATAAAATTATTTTGCAATTCGTCATCCTCTTAAGCTGGGTCACCATTCAGTTTCAAATTGCTCTAATTGAGCAGGAAATGCTGTTTTCGTCAACCAGTGTGGGTATTACCTGCATTAAAAGAGACTGACATAATGTTAATAAAATTCATAATTAATAGGACGTATAATGATGAACATTACAATGCACCTTGCATCCAAATCGTAGCATATTTGGGGGAAATATTCAGTAATTTCGTTGATTCGACTTCATTAAACATTGGGCACTTCAACACATAGGACAGTTTGTCGTTGGATACTTCTAAAACCCTGGAGTTTTTCTTTTTAGTGCAACCCGAAAAGACTTTGTTGATGGTGGACATTTTGGAATGGACCTTCTCCGTTCATGGGCTATTTCTATTGGACCAAATCTTCGGGGCGCCTGTGCGCTCTCTTTGGCTCTCATTCTCTTTTTCTACTCGTATGTTTACTCCGTATTGGCTCTCTTTAGTGCTTCCAGGAAACGGAGCATCCAACAGTTTTACACCACACAACATTCAGAGAGGCGTTTTCGTATGGAAACGACTTAAACATGAGCAGGGCTTTCCGTTGAAATCGCCTGAACACACTTTCAAACCATGCACTCCAGTTGCTTTTTTTTAAACGAAATTGAAAATTCTATCAAAATTTTGGGTAACGAAATAACTCGTAAATGGCAGTATCACACAGAAAAAATCTTTTTTTTTAAATTGGAATTTTAACTTGGGAATTTTTCAATGTGAATACTTAACGAGTATTTTAAAAATAAAATTCTCAATATGTGAAGGACGTTGAGTTTCCATTACTTAATACATACTCACTTGGCAATATTTTAACTAAACATATAACTTTCGTCAGGGATATATCACTAAGAACACATCACTTATACTGACATACAAGTTTCATTACAATTTGTATATGAAAGTATTGGTGATTTGACTCTTTGGTACTCTTAGTTACCTAATTCCCCAAATAATGCCAAATAATGGGACAAATGTTTGGTAATTGGACAACTGTTTTAATTAACGTCCAATCGAGAACATCCTGTCAATAATAATTACTCCGTGATCAAGATACATATACTACTATACACAGCGGCAGTAATTAAATGTACAGGTATACTTTTTAATCTTAATTAAAACTTGTCACTGTACCCCAGTTGATCAGTACAAAAACATTACTGAGAAATCAGTACTTTAATTTTTATTCTTGGTTCATGATAGTTTTGTTTAAATTTCTAAACATCTAAACTGATCTTTCTAAACTGATCAGAAAAATAGTACTGCAATAACACGAGTTTTTTTTTTTCTACATTCAAAATAAAACACAAAATTAGAATATCTTTGTCACCAACAAAGCGCAAATGCCAACAATTCACTGAAAAGACGATAGTTGTATTTCAATTTATATTAATTCATCACTAGCATTATCAATACTGGTCCATATAAAGATTTTATTTCAGGTACAGCTAGCACATCAAAACAGTTTGGATGCTCCGATTCTCAGTCATGTAGTATGTTGCTGCACTTTTTTTATATAGTTGCGTAACTTTATAGGATTTTTGAAATTTTGTTTTTTATACATTCATTCCAATTTCCTTATCGGGCCAAGTTTAATTTTTGGCTTATTGCATTTTGTTCCAAAAGCATGGACTTACTGCATTCTGAATGAAATGTCTGGCTTGGTTGTCGTAGTACTGCTTTGATTGATTTTTGAAAAAAGGTGAATGGTAATATGCTACATTACGAAATTGCTTAAATTGGTGACGAAATAGTCTAGTTCTTTTTTGTATTTCGATTTTCAACTGCATTCTTGGAAATGGTAAATGCAATATACTTCACAAAATTGTATATTAGATGATAATTTTAATTTTAATGCTTCTGAGAATGAAATCGCATTGCATTAATAACATGATATTTTTTAAAACATTATATATTTAACGCATTATATAACGCATTTTAACAGACAATGCAGCACGCTTTGGACTGACTTTATTATTAAAGCACGTTTATGATGGACTTACTGCGTTTTGAAATAAAGATCTGTTTTTCAATAGCTGTAGATCGAACACTAACAGCTTTTTTTGAACGCAAAATTTAACTTCAGCATTTTGTCCAGCAACGTACGGGCTGCAATTTTTAACTCTTTCTTTACTCCATGCACTTCTTGGGGTCGTCGTGTAACTTGTCCTTAAATCTAACAAAAACAATTGCGCCACGCGTATGCAAGGGGTTGGATTATTCTTCAAAAATGATCACATGAACATAAAGAAACAAAATTAAATAGGGAGTAATTGAAAAAAAAACTATAATTTATAGATGACAGAATCGCTAATGCATCTTGCAGGGCAGACTTACTCTCTCGAAGCACAAAATGTCTTCGCGAATGACCCAGATCAGTCTTTCACGAAGGAAAATATGACGTGAATTCACGTCAGAATCGTGATAGAAATCGAGGGGGGAGGTAAAAAGATTGGAAGGATTCTCTTAAATCCAAACAAGCACGAAGCATTAGTAAAACATACGTAAGAAGTAATTAATATAGTATACTCTAATTGAAAGGATAACAAATCGCGACTCCCAAGCCAGCCAGCATAACCACCTCTTTTGAAAGAAGACAATCCTGTTTGCAGTGTTAGTAAGTCTTCTATCCAGGATACCGATTGAAACCACTGTCACGTAAATAAGATCGCCTTAGTCAATTGTTCTGAATGATCCACCACTTCATCAAAAGCCGTTGACAATTAGGGAAAATGTGGAACCTCAGTAGAACACATAGAATAGTCACGCCATATTCCATTCACAAGTACTGAAACTCTAACCCTGACAGTCAACCATAGAACATGAACCCATCATGCATCTGACTTCATCGGCTTGCTGTACACCCTTCCCGCGAATACTTACAAACCACTGCATTGCCCTACCTGCGTACTTAGACTTTACTAAAAGAACACAGAGTGCGATTAGCGAGTAGGTTAGTCTTCCCCAAACAGAACACAGAACCAACTCCATCCTGATGATCAAGTTATGTGGCGACCCCAAACTATTCAACGTCTGTTCCTTGGTCTTAAGCGATGTGGTAGAATTAGTTAATTCAATAAGAAACTATGTGTTTGTGATGATAGCATGCTGATCTCTCTAGCAAGAAATGGATTTTGTTCCTGAAAGATTTTGCAATCATACATCAGTATTACCACAGCGCTCCCTTGGTAGAAAAATACTCACAGGAAAGATAACACTCCCAAACGTACTCTTACATAAACTGTCTACGAATATCACGTTAGAACAATCAGAGTTCTTGAAATGGTGTGTAACCAATTTAGAGATCAATACTCATAACATTTTTCAATAAGTTAAAAAATCGAGAAGCAACTCAGAAGGTAAAATATCTTTCGCTCGCTCGTTGCTACGAGAGGAAGTAAAGAAGGAAAAAGTGCAAAAGAAGGGTGTAGGTAGTTTGCAGCCAACACGGAAATATTGAAGATCCTATTATGAGTAAACGAATCCAGGACACAACTGATGAATATTTAAACTTAGTTATTTAATTAACAAAACCCGATGAACTAATTAGCACCACAAAAGTTATCGTAATTTTTTAAGTATAAATAGTGGGAATGGGCGGCATACCAAACCAGACTGGTACAAGAGACTCTGAATATTGAAACAGTAAACCCAATTATCTTTTTATTTCCTCATATACAAAATTAGCATTCGCAGAAAAGACTCAGAACAATTCAAAGCCCATCAGATTGCCAAAATATTCGTATTTATTAACGTAACAATTAATCGATTAGACTAGAAGACATGTGGATTCTTTAAACAACATTTAGGAGAAAGCAAATTTGTAGTTCATTTGCTAAAGTGCGGCTCCCAGTAAACTTTTATAAATAAGGAAAGCATTTCCATTTATTGATAAACAAAGTTTCCACTGGGTTTAGTGATGTGTAGAGCCTGTGTACACAGGAATAGTTACAGTTGGTTCACTGTCCTGATGTAACCTATAAACGCATTGGGGTAGGGGTCGATCTAGTTCACTATTTAAATCCCATTATTAAGGTTTGTCTTGGGCTGCACTGCGGAAAGGGTTACGCTAAGTTACAGTTCATATTCCAACACGGAAGTCTCTTGGCCTTGAGGCCTGTAACATACGAGCGTCAAATCACGGAAGTCAATATACGACACACTGGCGCGCTGCAGTGACGTCCGTCGTCTACGAACCAACGGTCGTTAGCCTCCACAATGCAAACGCTGGGAGGGACGTTGTAGCTTCGTAGGCATCCATGGCGTCCAGAACACATGGAGTACTAGCGACGTACGTTATACGTACGGTGGTATAGCGGCATAAGTTTCTCCATTCACAAAATGAATAGATTCGACATTGAAAGATTAATTAATGCAGTGCACATGCACGCATTTCATCTGGTGGCATAGCACTCATCTCATTCGTCCCTTGTCGTTTGATATGTTCATGTAATTTCCATACAAACGGTTCAGACATTCGGACATAATTAAAAAATGACTCACCGTCGTTACAGAAAATCTGAATTAGAGTGTAAAATGTACCATTGTAAAAGCCTCACGTTACTAATAGGATGTACCAATCAAGTTTCATTGCAATGTAACGCACAATCGCTTACTCCGCTACATCTATGTTTGCTACCCCAAAAACAAATGCCCGCTATGATAGTACCCGTGTGATTTCGCACCCAACGGACGTCAAATTGCCGGACGTCAGCGACGTACGTGTGACGCTGTTCGCGTGCCGCTAGCTGACGGACGGGAGAGCGGTAGTTTCCTGCGCAGGGGCATCCAAGGAGAATGTCGGCGCGTCGCAATGGGGAGGGCAACGCGTACCAAGGGAGCAGCTGCGGGCCGCCGCTCGCGACCAAGGACCAGACCACCCGGCGGGGCCACCGCCCGAACGGGCGCGTCTGCCCCACGCGCACCCCGCAATACAGGCGTTTCTCTAAGAAGCGAGCACTTCGGCACGTTGGGAAAGAACTGAACGCTGAGTAGAGCGATGGCACAGGAAGCGATAGTGACGAAGGCATATTCAAATGTGGTAACTGAAAAGGAAGCACTGACAGAACAAGTGCATGGACATAGCATGTAGTTATGATGCCAGCAGCGGCCACGCAGTAGCTGCCAAATGGGTATCTTATAATAATCCCTCTATACCAAGAACCAGACCACTCCCACGCCCATCGCGCGCGCGGGGCGATAGCCCTCCTGACTTGTATCCCGCTACAGAGACATTGCTATACGAAGGGACCGGCCACTGCTCACAATATAGCTGCCAGTTGCTCCATGCACTCATTTTGCCAGGGCGCTCGTTTCCAGTTGGCTCATTTGTAAATGGCTTCATCGCTCTCTTTTCCAATGTCTTCGCTCTGCGTGACGTTCATTTGTTTCCCGCCCTGTCAAAGTGCTCCCTGCTTAGAGTAACTCCTCTATACCGAGAACCAGACACCCCCGTCGCTCTTCGCGCGGGGGGAGGGAGCTCAGAGCGACCCCCTCGGGGAGGGGGGCAGGGTGCAACCAGGGCCTTTCAACTCTCCTTCAAAACTGGGGTCAAAGCTGTAAAGTGCTGCAGAGTAGGCTCGCCAAATTCCGCACATAGATTTTTTTTTGCTATTTTGTGAAAAATATGAAAAGTAACTTCTAAATGTTCAATTACTCATAATGTACACATAAGAAACTGGTTAAGAACAGCGCGAGCATCGACGCTTTCTTTTGTACCAATACGCGCCTGCTTCCGTTTGACACGCACGTTTGAAGTATCGTCGGCAGCAGTTAGTATTTCAGTTCCTGTAAGAAAGTGCTGCAGGAGAGGGAGCCACTGTAATGGTCCCCTTGACGTAAAATCAACTGTGCGTTGACCAGTACGGAGCTTTATCTGTCGCCACAGTGACGCACGTGGGGCGTTGAAGCTCCCGACTGGATGAAAGTTTGAATGAATGGAGGAGTTGCAAGCCGGGCGCTCACGTGTGTGATGGGAAGGGGGGAGGGGGGCGCCAACGGAGCGGCGTGGCGCAGGCAGCGGGCAAGCTGCAAAGCGGCGGCGGTGCTGCCAGTTGGAGCAGCCTCGCGGGCCGCGCATCCCGGCGCGCCCGGATGCCCGTGGGCCCGGCGGCGGCGGCGCGGCCCGGCTCCCCATGGCGGCGCGGCGGCGGCGGGCGGCTGCCCCATGGGCGCGGGCGCCGCCGCCAACCGACGCATGAACGCCATCAAGACCAACCACCCCAAGGACGCCGTCGGCCCCAAGGCCGGTGAGTACACCGCTGCGCGCAACCGCCAAAGTGCGCAGTACATTGGAAGCGACCTGGCGAGGTGGAGGAAAGGCACACTACACTGTAGTGATGTCGCCCTTCCCTCTCCCTTGTCACTAGCATATACCTCGATTATACTCCCAAATAAACACTGCCCCTTCAAGACCACGAGCTGGAAAGAGAGGGGAGGGGGACATCGAGAACTACGATACCAAAACTAAGTCGTAACGCAGCTGGCGATTGGATGACAGAGTCCCCTTCTCCTGCCAGCTTGTGACCTTCAAAGGACTTCGTGTTTTCATCGAAGTTCATACTCCAATTACAGCAGGACGTTCTTGAAGATCACGAGCTGGTAGCAGAAGGGACTCTCATTCAATCGGGAGCAACAACACCAACACTTTAAATCATAATGAAGCACACTATTGAATGGCAGTGTCCCTCCCTCCTGCCAGCTCGTGGCCTACAAAGGAATTCCAGGTTTAATCGGAGTATATTGTTCTTGGGATAAATAAACACAGGTTAACAAATATAATATTGAAATGTAATTTTGACATCACTCTTTCTAATTTTATTTCACTGTTAATTAACAAAAAAAATTCATTACCAAAAGTTTCACAAAAACTAACCTGATCTTACAAACTAAACTCTTTCGTGACTTTTTTCTAGATAAAATGCATGAAGTCACAATTCCTATATTGCTATCTGTAATCATGTCCTAGATTACTAACATTCAGTTGTTTTTTCTCTTTCTAGCAACCAACGTATCTCATTATAATATTCTTAAATGACTAAATGTTTATAAAATTGGTGATATTTGATTTTGGGACGCTTGGACCGCAACCACGCTTTGGGACGAGTGGTTTCCAACTGAATACAGGTAGAAAGCTGAGAGTAAGATGGGTTCAGATGGCTGCCTGAGAAACGTCAGGTCCGCCGTGCAAAAGCACCAGAGATACAGAAGGGGTAATAAGCAGTAAATAATTTGCCAACACTTCCTTCAAAAAAAATTCGCACTTTATATTATTGTGCTACTATATCTTACGTGAATTGTACTTCAAATAGGGATCAATAGGGATTCAAATAGGAATTAATACTTTTTATTCACACAAAACGAAAGGATTTTTTTTAATTACTTATACAATAATATGTTTTAAAGTTCCATAAAATGCACGTTAAAATTTTGTTGAAATATCAATCCATCAATCTTCTCCTGTGCTCTGTAAATGTTGCTCCGTAAATTTGTTCCAAAAGTAGGGTACATATTTTTGCGATAAATAATTACTTTTTTCTCAGTGCTTCTTTTAAATTGGAGGCGAGGCGAGCCTATGAGGCGTCTCACAAGCAGCCAATCAACACGAACCACAAACCTACTCGCCTTTCTCAGAATTCGGCTTTTGAAAATGCTTCCTGAGGAAAAAGCTCTAGAAAATCCTCAACACAAAACTATTTCTGTATTTTATAAGCATTATTCAATCCTTGTTCAGAAAGTACCGGGAATTTGATTGAGGAAGAGGCTGACCAAAAGGTTGGAAACCACTTGCACAGAACTAATACACCAAGCTAACTTTTGAGATTTTTTTACAGTGCGTTTCAGATATCTGCTGTGCCATCAAGAATGCAGCTTTAAATTCCCTTATTTTGATAATTTAGGGGGACATTTCCCTATTTCCTTGAAATGATTTACTTTAAATGGAATGACCCTCTGTAATTTCCGTAGAAACATTCACACTACGATTTAGGCAAAGATAGTGTTTGTGCAACTATAAACATTCAATAGAATGTGCATCATACGGTGAACTAGATTCTGTTGGTTCAATCATTCGGAAGATTTAAAACCAATGGACAAACAAATATAACAAATTGTTGATGTTAATGGCAGCCTGGAAATTGCTGCAAAGACTACTTCCAATCCAAATTTAAGATTCCAATTTGCAGCGAGTCCTGCTTTCGCTTCTACGGCGAAGCAACACACGAGTCATCACGGAAGCGAGATGTGACCACACTGGCAAATTGTAATCTTCAATTTCGATTAGGTGAAGGCGGCATTTCCTGGGCTGTTTTTGACATGGACATTTTGTTAAATTCCATCAACGTCCTTTTATTGCTTACATCAAAGAGCTAAAAGATGAATATGCACGATACCGTAAAAAAAATTACCACCGTTTCAAGGAAAACAATGCCATTTTGGTAGGTAATTGCATTACGTATTAAAAAAACGTCCTTTTTAACATTAAAATACATCATGCTTTTGAAAAATAATTATATTGCATTTTCATACAAATAATCCAAATAATATTTTACAATATTTACAAGCCCAAAACATAGGGAAATTGTATTGAACATTTAAATCACACCATCAGGACATTTCGGCGCTTAACAGAACGCTCAACCTCCCAGCAAGTCTTCAGGACGGCTCCGAGCAGGGCCGAAACAGAGGGGCCACGAGCGGCAGGGGCTCGCCCTGGGTACGCACGAGGGAAGCGAGGGGCGGGCCATCGCGAAGGGAAGAGTGTACATGCACTGGGAGCACAAGAGGCCATGGCGGGGGGCAGCACCGGCGGGAGGAAGAGAGGGGGCGGCGCGGCTGGGAGCAGGGATGCGCCGTCAACAAAACATCCATGTTTCTAAACATCGATATTCAAAAATTAAACATCGATATTGAAAAATAAAACATCAATTTTCAAAAATAACACATCGATATTCAAAAATAAAACATCGATTTTCAAATATAAAACACCGAATATAAAATTAAAACATCGCCCCGAAACCATCCATGTTTTGGCGACTGAAATAGTAATCAGTCATGTTTACGACGGGGATTTATTTTTTTTTAAGGTGACAGGGTTTTTCAATTTTAGTTGAGAAACACAGCCAGGATAAGAAGAATTAAGAAAACTTATGTTATCTGACTGAATAATTAAATAAGTAATTTAAATTTCATTAATCAACAAAAACTCTTTATTTTTCACACTTCGTCATTTTGGTCCGACTAATATTCAATTTATCGACATTTGGAAATTATTATAATTTTATTCTGACACCAATTATCTTCAATAAAAAATCGATTTAACAAAACATCGCCCTCAAAAAATCGATGTTAACAATTTCAATGATTTTATAAAAATCGATTTCGCATCCTTAACTGGGAGCGTGCGACGCACCGGGAGAGCGGTTCGCTGCCGCCAGACATGGACAAGAGTGACGGGATGGGTGGGCGCGGGGCGCACCGGGTGCGAGGTGAGGCCCTGCCAGACGAAGCAACGAGGGTGGGTGAGCGCGCGCGCAGGTGCCATGGTAGGGGACGCTCTGGGTGAGAGGACAAGAGTGAGGGAGAGTGGGGGTTGGGCGCACGGTCCGCCGGAAGCGAGCGCCGCGTGGGTGAGCGCCGGTGGTGAGCGCGTGCGGGGGTGTGTTGCGCAGTGCACGCGGCCGCCGCCGCCGCCGTGGCCGCCGCCATCGAGGAACGCCGCCCCATGCTGCAGGTGAACGACTGCCGCGAGGGCGACGCGCTCTAGCCGGCAGCTCCCACAGCCTCCCCTTCCCCGTCCCTCCCAACCCCCACGGCACACCAGCACCACCCGCGCACTCCGAGGCGACGATCAAGGTGTAAATGTAGCGACTCTTCATGAACATCCTTTCATCGATTGCAAAGTAATGAGAGCGGGAAGAACTAGCAGTGTGTGCTCCAATTTAAATATAATGACCCTTCAATACCACAAGCTGGAAGGAGAAGGGAGCACTATCATGCAATCGGGAGATTTAATAGCAAAAATTTAGGTCGTCCCGATTAGTGTTTCCCTCTTCTTTACAGCTCGTGAACTTAAAATGTCACTACATTTAAATCGGAGCTTACTCCACCAGTTCCATTTTCGTCATTTAACTACTAACAAGATAACTGTCGGTCGTGTCGTGTCGAAAAAGCCTTGATTTTTTGTGATAGTTAAGGTTACATGTTCACATATGTATTTTCGCTGACAAAACAAGCTATACGTTACGAAAAAACAATAACAAGATATTACTTCGAATGGCGCGAGTAATGAGGAATTACACAGCACTCCAAACGTATGCCCAGCCCATCGTTTATTTTTGGTAGCAAACTGCACCTATCTTATTTAACGGCACAGCAGCGCTGTACAAACAAAAGTTTCAAGAACAAAAACCAAGAACAAAATTGCAATTTCATGTTCTTTCGTAACTTCCACTAGGTTAAAATCTGAGCCCAAACACCAATGAAAAAATCAAAGCAGTTTTCGGCATCACACGGCAGACGATTTCCTTTTAAAAGATTTATTTTCAGCGTTGGAGTGAAACAGATTAAAGGTATCCACAAATCAGTAGGCGGACTAACAAGGCACAGAGTTTAGGGGTCCAATAAAAATTGATATAAGACATAAGTTTTTAGTTACGCAGCTTTCCATAATGTCTAGTGTGTTCGCACTCAAATGAACGATACTCCTGTACCCTGTTCGCGTTTTCATAACTTTCCTAAAATGTTCATAATTAAAAATAGGGGCAATGAGTTTTCATTGGCGAACGAAATTATGACATGCATTCAACTCACCACAACACTCAAACTACATTTTAAATAGCATTAATATTGTGACAATACGAAATAAAAGAGATAAAATTAGACAAATAAAGAGTCTGACGTAAGGCAATAACTGTAGAATATTCTACATAAATATGCAATCATTAGACGCATTAAAGCGCTCTCAATGAAATTGAAGACTTTGAAAGCAATATTAATAAGAGGATGGCACATATTTTAATGCCGCTTGGCAGAAGAAAAGAAAATTATTGCTAACAATTTTGGGATAGCAAAATAGGTTTACTTACAACATTGTTTCTGGCGGCAGTGAATTATGCAAAACAAAAAGGGTACGACAGCTACTGACCAAACTTTATTCAATAATTAAGTAATATTGTACACGTCTCTTCGCAATTCAAGCACTGATTCATTATTAAAACAAAACAATTTAAAAATATTCAAATAACTTCGT